CAAACAAGAAACGCAGTCCGATCTCAATCAATTCCTGTGCCAACGAGGGCATTTGCTGGGGATTCATTCCGCCCAACGCTCCCCATTTTGGCGGTTTATGGGAAGCGGCGGTAAAATCCGCCAAACTCACTTGACTAGAATTGTGGGCCAAGCCCATTAAATTTTGAAGAACTGCAGACTGTATTATCTGAGATAGAAGCTATATTAAATTCGCGCCCTATCACGCCACTAAGCGTGGATCCCAACGACTTGTGTTATCATGTCCGGGTCACTTTCTGGTTGGTACAGCACTAAATAGTTTTCCTTGCAGAGATTTCTGCGAGATCAATGAGAATAGGCTCCTACGATGGCAACGCGTGGAGCAACTTCGACAGCACTTTTGGCGCAGATGGAGTAGCGAGTACTTAGGCTCGTTGCAGGAAAGGTCGAAATGGAAACAAAATTCGGGCATTCAACTACGCGTCAATCAGCTCGTACTTGTAAACAACAAAATCTACCCCCTCTACAATGGGCTATAGGTCGCGTCTTAGAGATTCATCCCGGATCCGACAAGTAAAACGAACTGCAACTATAAAAACCACCAAGGGTACTTATGTTAGACCATTGTCGAAGCTCGCGATATTACCCTCAGAAATCCAAACGACGGATAACTAATAAACGCAACTAAGATGAAATCTCACGTAATAGTCACGACGCGAATATTTAGCTATTAAGATATATCATAGGAAAATTTATATTCATGTCTTCCTTTCTCTAGTAATTTAGTTTATTTGCAAACAAATATATATTATTATAGTTTATAGGATACTGTAATCACTATTTATAAGAGTACTAAACTCACGAAGTGCTATCAGTCATGGTTTATATTCTGTTGCGTTATTATCTTTATTTTATTGTACTGATAAGTCTTATATGTTTGCCTTGCGGCTCATTCTTTCTTCTATTCATTTTGAAAGCGCATTCTTTCAAGGCGGGCGGCGTTTGTTTGGTATTCAATAAACTATTTACGCGTATCGCCCGGTCAATCTACCCGCTCGAATTCGGGTACCCGCATATATATATGTCGGGTCCTTCGCCGTTGCCTTCGGGGGCTTCCGTTGCCGATCGCGACCCATCGTGCGCGGTCCCCGCTAATACGAATCAGAATCGTCTCAGAGACAACGAGAGACACACGTGCGGCCGACATAGCCGGCTATTGTATACCATTATACGCTGTATTTCAATTAAGCATTTATACCTTGTATCTCGAGTGCGGTCACTACCTTCTGAGTTTTTTCAATAAATATAAGCAAGTGAGAGAGAAACATTCTCGGTCGTATATTCGTGAAGCACTCATTCCACGACAACATACGACGGGCACACGCCCGATAATTCAACTTACGTACATCCCGTACAATGGTAAAAGAGGAGATAGGGAAGGATAAATTTAGGACAAGGGCAGAAAGAAGAGTAGTAGGGTACGAGAAGAAGTTGGAGAAAGAAAGAGGAGAAAGTTTAGCAAGAAATGCTATGAGGATAAAAAAAGAGGATAAGAGAAGGAAAGGAGAGATCAGTTTGGAAGAAGAGAGGGCAAAATTTTTTGAAGAAAGAGGAAAAAAGGGAAGGAGATGGAGGAGAAGAGAGGGAGGGGAGAGGAAGTATACAAGGGATGGGAGCAGAAGATAGAGAAATGCAGAAGGAGAAAAGATGAGAGAGAATAAGGGAATCAAGATATAATAGATGGTATGGAGAATGGAAGGAGGAGGGATTACCGGAATATCTGAGAAAAGGATGGGGAAGAGTAGATGGAGAAGGATAGTGAGGTTTAGAATAAACAATAAAATGAGAGGGGCGAGATGCTGGAAAAAAGAGGAGAAAAGAAGATGTAGGCTATGTGGGATGGAAGATAAAACATGGGAACATGTAACAGGAGAATGTGGTGGAGAAGAGGGTAAGGAAAATTGATAGGAAAGAATGAAGGAAATAATGCAAAAGGGGAGAAGGGGAAGGATGGATGAGGAAATTGGAGAAAAGAGGGAAAGGGGGAGCAAAAAAGAAAAGGAAAGGGGTATAAAAAGGAGAATGAGTGGAGGTATGAATGAGATCTTGGAGAATGAATGGAGAACTGGAAGCCGAGGCAAAGCAAGGAAAATAGATAGGGACGACTCTTTCTCTCTCTCAATTAGATAGATAAGGTAGATTAAGTTAGAATTAAGTTAATTGTAAATTAGATGTAAGAGTAGAGTTAAGAATAGTTGTAAGTTAATATTGTAAGAGTTTATAAGGTTTGGGTACGCTCCTTAAAAGCGCCTTTAATCCCTAAGGGGACAAATAAAGAATTGAATTGAATTGAAATTAAATTATAAATATTAATTATATTAATAGTATTATAAAATTATAATATAAATTAAATTATAAATATTAATTACATTTGTATGTGTATGTCTACACCTATGCACAACACACAATCCTGCAATCAATAATATGTTATTTATAATTATAATTAATACATTATAATTATAATTAATAATTTATAATTATAATTAATAGTTTGCAATTATTATTAATAATTTGTAATTATTATTAATAATATAATATGTATAAACAATTGTACTGTACTTGTATTCAATAACAAAATTATATTTTACATCCGTGTTATGAGGATTTTTCAGTGTCACATCATACACTACATATCTTATTTTTTAATTTTCTGAAATATATTCATATTACATGCATGCAGTTTGCTTATAAGTCTACTTAAAATTAATTGTAGAAAATTACATTTTGAGTTTTAGACATAAAAAGTATTCACAAATTATCTAAAATTTATTTCGTTTTGGGCACGACTCGATTTGATTTTTGCGAAATTTTACATGTCCTTAAGCTTTTGTGACGTTTGAGATTACCTTTTGAGCGTGTAGCTCTTACCACATAATATAAAGGCGGGTCTTTTGCAGAGTGAATTTCCTTTTTGTGTTTGATCAATGTTTTGTTCATGCCAAAACGTTTGCCGCATATATCGCACGTGTTACTCGACACGCCCGTGTACACCGTCAAATGGTCCATTATATGAGATTTATCGGACGCGACTCGACTTGACTTTCGCGAAATTTTACATGTCCCTAAACTTTCGTGACGTCTGAGATTACCTTTAAGTGTGTAACTCTTGCCACATTGACATGTATAGGCGGGTTTTATCTCGGAGTGCGTCTCCCTTTTGTGTCTAATCAAGGTTCTTTTCATGCCAAAATATTTGCCACATATATCGCATGCGTGATTCTTCACGCCCGTGTGCAACGTCAAATGGTCTATCATACTAGATTTATACAAAAATTCTTGCCGCAATAAGCGCATTTATGCGGGAAATTGCCTATATGAATCTTAATGTGATTATATAATCTCGTTTTGGATGTGAATGCTTTGTTACAAGTATCACACATGTACGGCCGTTCACCGATATGGATACGCCGATGATCTTCCATAGCGGACTTTTCCGCAAAACTTTTGTCACATATGTTGCAAGGATGCTTCTTAGGGTTGTGGATGTTCCTTCGATGACGAACCAGATTACAAAGCGTACTGAATTTCTTAGAACAGAGACGGCACTTGTACGTTGTCTCATTTTCGTGATAGCGTTCATGATCACGATAACTTTTTCGCGAAAAAAATTTTTTATTACAGAGCTTGCAAATTCTATCTGTATCATCTATCTGCTTCCTCTCGCTTGTGTGTTTCGTCGAGTGATGCAGCATATCCTGTTTACTTTTAAATCCCTTGCCGCAATAGTCGCACTTGTGCGGGAAATCGTCTGTATGACTTTTGATATGTTCCTTCAAGTTCTTTGTGCAGCTGAACGACTTGTCGCATATTTTACACAAGTAAGGAAGTTCACTGGTATGGATACGCCGATGGTCTTCTATGGTGGTTTTGCTCTTGAAGTTTTTGTCATATATGTCGCAAGGGTGATCTTTCTTAACATAGTGGATGTTCTTTTGATGACGAATCAGACTATCAAGTGTACGGAATACCTTAAAGCAGGGATAGCACTTGTACTCTGTCTTATCTTCGTGTTGGCGTACAAGGTGAGTAAGGTAGCTTTTCTGATAAGTAAATGTTTTATTACAGAACTGGCAAATCATATCTGTATCATCGATGAGTGCAACCCTTTTCGCTTTAGATTGTTTAACATTCTCTTCAAGACACACATTAGATTCGTTCATCTTGGCACCTTGGCACTTTCTCGCTATGTCATTAGTCTTTTTCGTGACATTACTTGTGCCCACTTGTTCAGCAGAAATGTAATCTCTGTTGTTTCTATTTTTGTTTAAATTTTCTGGAATTAAATTCGGATCTGGTCCGACTGAACTTAATTCTCGCGATTTTTCACACATCCCTAATTTTAAGCGTTTGTGCTTTTTGAGATCATTTTTACGCTTGTAACTCTTGCCACATTTACATGTATACGGTTTTTCCATGGAGTGTACAATTTTTTTGTGGTTGTATAACATGTCCTTTCGGGCGAAGCACTTACCACATACATCGCATATTTGATTTCTTTCATTCGTATGCTTCGTCAAGTGATACAGCATATCCCGTTTACGTGTAAATCCCTTGTCGCAATAAACGCATTTGTGCGGAAAATCGCCTGTATGTTTCATGATGTGTAATTTCAATTCCTTTTTAGAGCGGTATGACTTGTTGCAGACGTCACACAAGTAAGAGCGTTCACCGATATCTATACCGGTACGCCGATGGTCTTTCATGGTAGTTTTGCCCGCGAAGGGGCAAAACATTTTCGTCAAGACACGCATTATATTCGTTTACCTTGGCACCTTGGCCTGTCCTCGGGATGTTATTTATTTTTTCTTGCAACTTCTTGCGGGCCTGTCTAATAAAAAAGCACCTTCTGTCCTTTTTATTTCTTTTCCTTCTCGCAACTTGATTCATCCGACGAACTCATTTTGGGAAATGTATTTATGTCAGACGAGCGTTTCTTTGATCGATCGTTGGCAATATTATACGTAGAGATCAGATATACTTTTGTTTCTTTGACGAGCGTAATCGCTTCTCACTTTGGATCGAATTGATTTTATTACTGTATTTTCCGTCGAATATTTTGTACCATTATCGAAAGTAACTACGATCAGTTGTCCAATCTTGCATAATTTTTTTAATCTAAAAAAAAGTAACTATATGTGAACAAATTTCATTATAAATATTCATTAAATTAGCGTTTCATTTTTGGTGTTTCATCAATTTTCATCAAACACGAAACATATTTAAAACCAATCGTAAAATTATGTGACATTCGTATTATCTAGAGATTTAATTAATTTGTATTTGTAAATATTTGCATATAAAATGATTACTATATTACAATTTTGTCTATAATATTTATATATATAACATATAAATATTCTTTAATAACTATTTATCATTATTATAATACAAAAACAATTATACCACAAAAGCAGATTTTTTTGTAATTAAAAAATATACATATGATAATAAAGAACATTATTTATCATTTTATATTTGCTAATTGTAAGTAATGTGTAATGCAAACAAAATATATAATAAAATTTTTCTTTCTTGAACAGCCACATTCATTATAATTACTAAGCTCCTCATATCAATAGAATTTCACATGTACTATATATATATATTGTATATATTATATATATATATAAATACATACAACATTGCTAAACATACTTAAAAATAAATAAAACTGCTAAAATATAAGCAGAAAAGTTATTGACCTGTTTGATATAGAATTTTTATGGAATAATATTAAAATATTTCCTAAAATTTACTTACACACACACACACACACACACACACACACACACACACACACACGTACATGCACATGCACACACGCGCACGCACACACGCACACGAACATACACACAATTAAACTGATTTTCTTGTTTTTTAACAAATTTTACAGCAAAATTTGGTGTCAATTTCAAAATTATTGAATATTACATAGGGTATTATTATGTTACGTAATTATTCTATGTCTTTATTTTCTTGATAGCATTTAATCAAAGTTTATTTTTGTTTGATTATTTCTCAATTATAATTGTCTGAAAAAATATTAATTTTTGAAAAATAATGACAAAAATATATGCAATATAAATAATCTCCACATAATTTGCTTTTTGTTACAGGAATCTTTTCAATCCATAATTTAATTGTCCATAAACAATTGCTTTTTTATATATTATTATTTTATTTATTTTTTTTATATTACTAGAATACTACACTGCACGTGCTTCATGCGCATTTTATTTCTTTTGCTATACAATATATTAGATTAATTATATTATTATATTATGCATTATATTTTTTAATACTATATTTATTATATTATATATTCTATATATACGTATAAATTCAAATATACATATGTATATTAAATATCTTTTTTTATTCAATATAATCTTACAAATCTATCTACTGTAGTCCCACTAAACACTTAATATATCATCGATGTTATAATTTCCCTTTCAACAATGTAACTGTTACGTTACAAGGCATGTTATATTGCGGTTACATTGTTAAGTGGAAAATGATAAAATTGATGTTATATTACTGTTTTTAATGGATATTAAAACATTCGATATATGATTAAGATATCCTATATACATTGAAAAACACAAGTCAAATATATTTCGATATATCGCATACACATATATGCAGGTAAGATTCTTTTTAAACAAGCTACATTTGTTAATTGCAATATCAATTGGAGTGGATAAGACGCTGTTTAAAAATATTAATCTGATTAATATTGTAAGTAAATCTTATCATTTTTATATATCTGATATTTATTTATTTTGTTATTTTTTGCTATTATTTTTTCATTTCTTTGAACACTCTTTTCCTTTAGATTTAGCTTCATCAGTTCTTATATCTTTTGACATTTTACTTTTCTTTCTATTAATCTATTTCTTAACAGTACACACATCTGAAAGATGTTCATAATATATCTTCAAGATAATATATTATAATTTATTATATTATTTGTTTATTATTGGTTTTATTTTTAATTAAATATCTACTGTAATTAATAGTACTTATTTTTTTCTAAATAAAATTATTATAATATATCGTTTAAATACAAATATTGATATAAATATATGTAATTTTACAACAGTTTATTTGTAAACATTGTAATATATACAATGTTTATGTAATATATACAAAACAATATACATATATATATATATATATATATATATATATATAATAAAATTATTATATTATAAAATATGTATATAAATTTAATAGATACTTCATCTAGACGATGTGCAAGCATGAACATCAAAAGTTAGTAAATTTAATAATGGTAATGTGCCATTTGAATTACATATTAAGGCTCCTGCATACTCGATTGCCAAGTCCGTGTTGACGGTGACGACTTAATTAAAAACAGTAGAAATAAGAATCTCTATATTGTTTTTAGAAAATAAAAGATATATAATAATAAACAAAAATAATATACAGAAAGATACGGAGAATTTTAGTGGGATTTATAATCGTGTTCTTGATGCTATTTAAATTATTTTTATTTTTACCTATTTATTTATTTATTTGACTTTGTTATGAGGTTTTAGATTGCAAAAGACACATTAGTTTTGTCTCGATTTTCTTAACGCGTAGTGACTAAGATTCTTGCTAACTGTTAACATCTATTTATTTCTTGCTTACTTCTGTCAATTCTACATTGTTCATTAAAACAATAGTGAATTTGTCGGTGGTATGCAATGAATTTAATTTACTGTATTAATTTATTATGCATTTACGTTTGGTATGTAACATATTTTTGTATATGAATTTATAATTATTTGTTGTAATAAAATGTATTAAAATCATAATTATTTTTATGTAACTTTTTATAGATTTACTTGAAAATGGCCGCAATGACAGCCGAAACGTTGTATTTTAACTAATTATTTATAATAAATGATTGCCAGTTTGGTCGACTTTTACCATTGAGGAAAGATTTTTATTAATTATTACTGGCGAACCTTAAGGATTATTATCTAAAAATAATATAATTAATAAATAATACAATTTTCATTTTTATAAATGTAAATGACATTTTAGCAAGCTAAATTATTCTTGCGATTTACAGCGTTATTTTTCGTTTTACTGCAGTATTTTTATGTTTAAAATAATTATCGTGGTGTTAAAATATAACGAAAAACAATTTTAGCATAATTTCATATGTAAAAGCAAATATTTATTTCGATACCTGTCAAACAGCTGGTTTTCGTCCGCGGTTAAGCTCAATTCAATTCGATATATGTATACCATATTATTTATTAAATATCCAAACAAAAGGAGTTTTCAGTATATTTCACATGTCTGTTCATCGATTTCAAGCGCTATTTTATTAAATAAAGCGGGGAGCACACACTCTTGCATAAACGCATAAGCGTAAGCATAAGAATCTTGATTGGTCTATAAACGTATGCATGAAAAATTCAATCAATCGAATTTCTTATGCATATGCTTATGCGCTTATGCAAGAGTGTGTGCTCCTCGCTTAACTAATTTATTTTAACGTAAATCGCAAGAATTTTCATAATAGGTTTTCTCGCTTCTGACTTCATCAATCCAAGATGGCCGCAGTGAGTATGCAGGATCCTTAAAACAATACTATTTTGTCAACTTTGGTAGATATAAACCCACAAATACAACAAAGAAGGATGTTAAAAAAAGTCGATTTCCCGACTATCGATAGAACCTAAAATTCTTCTATGGGTATCTATGAATCATATAAGATGTAAAAATAATGGTCTTTTTTCCTAGAGATCTGGGGAAAATATTGAAAATCTATCAAAACTATTAAAAATAGTGTCATTCGATCGATCTGAAGACAACTAAAATGGACGACATGGATGAATTTTCAATCAAACCAAGTTTTGGTTAAACACTTATCAAATAATTTTTGAGATCAATAATAATGTTTTAATATTGGGATCGCAAAATTCAAGATTGCGGATCCAATATGGTGAATCAGTATTGAGAGAAACTAGATTCTAGAATGTAATTACTTCCGAATAAAAGATCTGATTGTACATTCAAATACATTATGTTTTTTGGTTTTTTTATTAAAATATTTTTGTTTCATTGTTGAATAAAATTCTTTAGTTCTAACATAGAAAATATTAATAGTTCTCATATTTTTCACGTTAAAACTGAAGAATTCTATTCAACAATAAAAAATATTTAAATAAAAAAAAACTAAAAAACAATTTAATGTATTTGAATATGGAATCAGATCTTTTATTCGAAAGTAACTACATCCTGGCATCTAGTTTCTTTCAATACTGATTCACCATATTGGATTCGCAACCTTGAATTTTGCGATCCTGATATTAAAACATTGATCTCAGAAACTATATTTAATAAGTATTTAATCAGAAATTAGTTTAATTGAAAATTCATTCATGTCGTCTTCAGATCGATCGAATGATGACACTATTTTCAATAGTTTTGATAGCTTTTCAATACTTTCCCCAGGTCTCTACGAAAAAAGGCCATCATTTTTACATCTTATATGGTTCATAGATACTCATACAATTCGAATTTTAGGTTCCAACGATAGTCGGGAAATCGATCTTTTTTAACCTCTTCCTTTGAAACCTGAGTATGTAAAATTAAAGGATATTTTAAATATTTTGCAACGTATAAAATTTATAAATAATTTCATGTATAAAATATAATTCTAATAATGTATAAAATTATTTGTTTTACAATTTAACGATTAATTTATTTGTTATAATAATTATAAAATAACAATAATAATAATAATAATATAAGCATGTAACAAGAATATAATCATAAAATAATAATGATAATATAATAATATAATTATAACACAAAATTACATAGTAATAGTGACATAATATTAATAATCACATTATTATTGTAGCTATTATTTCTATTTATATTTTTCATACTTTAATTAAATAATAACGATATAAAACTATAAAGTCACCAGACGATAATTAAAAAATGGTAATGATTTAATCGACCAACTCTGGCAAATAAGTAATTTAATTGAATTTCACAACGTTTTGGCCGTGGCTTTTGGCCTTATCAAGTGCTGTATAACATTAACAATTACGGGCAAAGAAAAATAAAAATAATAAAATATATAGAAACTTTCACACGTTAATACGCAAACATACCTATGTTCTTAAAACAAAGTAAATCACAACTTTTTTAAAAAACAAAATTCGATCTTAGAATATGATATGATATAATAACATGATAGTATGAAAACGAAATAACTATGTTATCGTATCGATTTTAAGCTCCTTGTATACTCAATATTTAGATCAAACTAAACGACCTTTATTAATTTCTCATAAACATTATTTAGATTATCCGTGTCTTTTTGTAAATTAATTGTGTTGTCAAATTTTTTGATAAAAAATATCTCCGCGATTTCTCGTTCACTAACGTATTTCTCAAGATGTAAAATTTCTGGAGCAGACCAATCAAAATCATGACCATTATCCAATTTATAATTACTTATGACTGAGTAATTACTATTGTGTACTTTAATATTATTAAAATGTTCTTTTATACGTGTGCCTAATTGTCGTTTAGTTTGACCAATATATGATGAGGAACAATTTGCGCAATTAATTTTATATACTACTCCTGTTTTTTCTTCTAAAGGTAAAGGATCTTTGACGCGTCTAATTAATGTATTTAATTTTTTCGATATGCAGTAAACGCTTTGCATGCCAGTAAATTTTAACAATCTCGAAACATCCTCACTAAGTTCTTTGACATACGGTAATGGTATAATATGGTCAAATTTTGTACTAATTGAATTATCGTTATCCACATTGCAATCGTCATTACTTTGTTTCGATATATTTTATTATTTTTATTTTTCTTTACCCATAATTGTTAATGTTATATCACAGCACTTGATAAGGGCCAAAACCCACGGCCAAAACGTTGTAAAATTCAATTAAATTACTTATTTGCCAGAGTTGGTCGATTAAATCATTACCATTTTTTAATTAAATAATGTTTTAATTTATTTTAGTTTGTTAAATTTATTATACATTCATATATTATACATTTTATTATTAAATTATTATTTAATTTTTTAATTATTATTATACATTATTATTATAATAATGTTAATTACATTTATATTTATAGTTTTTAGTTCTTAAACATATATTTTACAGTATCACAAACACACATTAAAACAAATTTTTATGAAATGTTCAATAATAAATTAAACAAAACTATTGAATACAGTTCATTAATTGATGGGATATTTACAGTAGAAGTTCATATTATTAATTTCATAAATGAAAAATATTTTGAATCACAAATATTAAAAAAAGCGATAAAGATGAAGTTGGAACCATGTATTCTGCAAGTATAAAAATAAAAATATTTATATTAATAATAAATAAATAAATAATTATATATATATATATATATAATAGTCAACAAAAATTTTAAAAATCCTATTAAAAATTCGTAAAGGATCACGAAATTTCTTATGGGAATTTCTTATGGCTCTCAGTCGATTTCCCTGAAATTGAAGTATGTTGCTATTTAAGACCTACTGATGAAATGTTCTCACAGGCGCAACTCGAAATAATGAGTCAGTTTCGAGCTACAGAGCTCTGAAATTGTCAATATACATTAAAAAAATACATTAAAGATTTGTTTAAATAATATTGTAAGTACATAAGTGCGTACGCGCGTATGTGTCTGTGCGTGTTCTATGCCAGAAATGCCTCCCCATATATTGAATTTCTATTATGAGAGCAAAGTTTGCGATATATATTTAGAAGTGTCTCTTAATTCACTGTTTGACACACAAAAAGGTTCGGAGATTTTTAAAGCGTATTCTTATAGATTTTTTTATGCTGATTACAAATTAGGCTGCAAAAATTGCGTATCACGTCAGATTTTTAGATATTTTGATCTAAAGATGCAAAAAAGGGCATTTTTTACACTTTTCCGTAAAATGTAGCTTAATTGATATGTGATAGGAAGTAGTACGACGACTCAAAATAAAGCTTAAGACTTGTAATTTATGTAAAAAATATAAAAAGATCGAGTCTATAAAAAATTAATCTATATATAATTATTTATCAATGATTAAAGAAATTTTTACATATTAATATTTGTAAAAAAGTGAACCATTCTAATAATAAATAATAATAAATAAGTATTTATCAGTGATTGAGAAAATTTTTACATATTAATATTTGTAAACAAAAGTGAACCATTCTATCGAATAGTAAGTATATTAGCTAACAAGTGCGGGGGATCGTAAATCGGCCGAGAGTGCGGAAGTTTGGCGCACGAGGCGAGCCGAGTGTGACAATCCGCACGATCGGCCGATTTATGACCCGCACATGTTGGCTACGATATTTTGTGTGACGGTGCGTGAAAAGAGAGCCTTTTCTAAAATCCCATTATGTGCGGAAAGGGCGACTTTTCGCGCGCCGTTTGCACAAAGACTATATTAGTATAAGGAAAAGTGCGAAAAATGATATTTCCAGTTTTTTAATTTAGTTTTTTCAATAAACTCTCTATAGGTTCGACCTTTTTTATATTTTTTACATAATCTACAAGTCTTAAGTTTTATTTTGAGTCATCGTAGCATTTTTTATCACGTCCGAATTAAAAGCTATATTTTACGGAAAAATGTCTAAAATGCCTTTTTTCGCATCTTTAGATCAAAACACATAAAAAACCTGATGTGGTACGCAATGTTCGCAGCCGGATTCGTAATAAACATGAAAAAATTAACAAGAATACGCTTTGGAAATTTCCGAACCTGAAAAACATTCCTTTGTCGACCAGTATTATTATTACCTCATTTTCTCAGAAATTAATAAAAGACTGAAGTCCCTCATTGTTAATAAATTAAACACAGAAATGATTCATAATATGAATAACGATGACATAAATAATGATAATAAGAAGAAAAAATTTATAGCGATACCATACATCGAAAGAATCTCGGAATTAGTAGCATCAGAGTTAAGGAAATCTAATATAACAGTAGGATACAGAAGTTTGAAAAAATTAAATAGAGTCATAAAAACACAAAAAGACAGAGATGATCGTCATAATAATTCCGGTGTCATATATAAAATATCGTGTAATGATTGTGATGCTATATATGTGGGACAAACGAAAAGACAATTAGGCACAAGAGTAAATGAACATAAAAATAATATCAGATTAGATTCTGCAAGACATTCGGTGGTTTCTGACCATATCGTAAAGTTTACACATACTTTTAATTGGAGCGAAACAAAAATCTTAGACAACGAAAAGAATTATTATAAAAGGTTGATATCGGAAATGATACACATTAAAGAAGAAAAAAACAGTATCAACTTAAAAAAGGACACCGAGCGTCTTGACGGTTCTTATTTTGATATTTTAGAAAAATTGTCTATGTCATCATAGCATAGAGGTATATATACAGCGCTCTGACATTGCGATTTACAGATATTGATTAGCTTTGCAAAAAGTACACATTGTGACAATGTTATTTAAAAAGAAATATTTTATCGTCTCGACACAGACGTAAGTAATCACTATTTTTTAAAAATTCAACATTTAATATTCGGGCTGACACATCAATTGTTTCACAGCATATTACATATTATAACATCATGAACTACAGAAATCTGATGTTCGAGAGTAGGCGATTTATCTCAAGTCAACAAGAATGAAATTTGATACTGCGTTTTTCACATTATAAGCCGATAGATTTTATATTTATAATATGTTCGGTCTTACCAAACGATTTAATTCTTGACTTATTAACATAGAGATAATGATATTGAAAAAGACTGTCGTACAGCCGAAACGTTTATCATTTGTAATATTATTTTATGACATATAATAAAAAATTTAATTAACATCTTATTAGCTCGTTAAGTTGGCCTTTTAATTTTATACGAGCCGAAGTTTATATTGTATTATATATATTTATTATTACCTACTATTGATATTTTTTTTATTATAATCATTCTCATTGCACAATATTATTTCTTCAGAATATAAGTACTTAAGTACCACCAAATTGATAGAGTTATATTAATAAATTATATTAATAACAGCTAACTTCAACAAAATTATATAAATAAATGTAATTATTGAATATTTGACATTTCAACTATTGGTATTTATCTAACATTAACGCCGAATTTGAATATATTATTTGAATAAATTATCCGAAATCGTTAATTAAAAATAATATGTACTCTATACACTAATGGGGTGAGAGGCAAGGAGACTCGCCTTACATAATCAAGCACCCCAAAGGTATTATATTCTCAAAACGTTCTTGTCGTTAATCTTGATTAACGCTAATATTGAAAATAAATATTGATAATTTATAACACTACGATAGAGAATATAAGAAATAATAATATTCCCAAATGAACGAAGTATTCTTGAAGCAAGAAAATGGTAAATTTTGATCATTCAGCATTTGAAAATATGACTAATTATAACAAATCTAAATGTGCACGCACATAAACATACGCATAAATAGACACATAAAAATGCACTCACGCGCTTAGAATATCATTTATATAAATCCTTAATATATTTCAAATGTTAACGACTTCAGGATTCTGCAGTTTGAAACTGACTCATTATTTCGAGTTGCGCCTGTGAAAACATTTCATCAGTAGGTCATGAACAGCAACATATTTAAATTACAGGCAAATCGACTGACAAGGAAAGGGTCGGAAGTGTCCCCCTCCGATTTTAATGAGCTTTGAATATGTTGTAGTCTAGATCAAAATTTTGAACGGCCGACTCAGCACTTATAAAAAAATACGTGTCTCCTATTAATAGGAGACACGTATTTTTTTATAAGTGCTGAGTCGGCCGTTAAGGGGGTGAAACACCTTCTTGAAGAAAATCGATTTTTTCATTTCTCAGCGAATACCGTCGAAGCGATAAGAGATATAAACAAAAGTTTCAAATAAAAGTTTTATGGTCTTTAATGTACTTCAAAATCATGTAATCAGATTTGTCGAAAATGTCATATCTTTCGAAATCCCGAAATGTCGAATGACATTTTCGACAAATCTGATTACATGATTTTGAAGTACATTAAAGACCATAAAACTTTTATTTGAAACTTTTGTTTATATCTCTTATCGCTTCGACGGTATTCGCTGAGAAATAAAAAAATCGATTTTTTTCAAGAAGATGTTTCACCCCCTTAACGGCCGACTCAGCACTTATAAAAAAATACGTGTCTCCTATTTTGATCTAAGCTACAACATATTCAAAGCTTATTAAAATCGGAGGGGGACACTTCCGACCCTTTCCTTGTGAGAGTCATTTCCCATTTTGCGAGATCCTTTGTGACTTAATATATTTTACCTTTGAGAGACGCTAATACACACACACGCACACAATATATTTATTTATATATACTATAATTATACAGGATGTCCCCGAATTCGCGGATCAACTCTCGTGGATAAATAAAACGTGTTAACTGAAGAGAAAAGTCTTATATCATTTTGTTAAATTCGTAATAATTATTGAGTTATTGATTAAAATATCTGAGCAAATAAGCGGGTAGAAAGCGGTCCTAGACCAGACTCAGTGGGCATGTCGGATGACTTATTTGTTTAAGCCGTTTAGTAACGAAAGCATTATCTGATTGAGAGGCGACGTCATGCAACGAGCGGCGAGCAACGTAGCCACGCCGAAAAGTAAGATGATACTTTTGTTACTAAGCGATATATAACAAATAAGCATAAACTCGTTACAGTTACAGTTACTTAAAAAGAAACGAGTCGTTACTTTTTAGTTACTTTTTAAATATAATTATACATTATTTTAAATATAAGGAGCTTATACATTTTATGCACAGTCACAGTCAAGTAGTTAAAAAAATTCTTGAATGTAATAATTGATCGATTTGCTTGCGACTTTGCGATTACCATACATGTATGAATGACCTTTATATACAACAGTAACAATACTTAGTAACATACTAAATGATAATCGCAAAGTCGCAAGCAAATCAACCAATTATTACATTTAAGAATTTTTTTAAATACTTGATTGTGATTGGTCGATCTTAATTATGTGTTATATTATTTTATGTACACTAAATGAGAATTTTAGGTAAAAGTTAAATCATATGAAGATCCATATGCTACTGTTATCAGAATTTAATAACAATATAACGGCTCGGCTACCATATTAATTTGAACGATACTTTTAGCGCATTTTTCAAAAAAAGTAACTAATAAAGTAACTGTTAAAATAATTACTAGTTATTTAAAAAATGTAACTAAGTTACAGTTACAGTTACAGATGGAGGAAAGTAACAAAGTTAAGTTATAGTTACCGAAAAAAATAACTATAACTTCGTTACAAGTAACTCGTTACTTCCCAACCCTGCAAATAAGCCATCTGACATATCTACCGAGTCCGGCCTACCGCTTTCCACCCGCTCATTTGCTTAGATATTTTAATCAATAACTCAATAATTATTGCGAATATCGCAAAATGATATAAGACTTCTCTCTTCAGTTTAACACGCTCTAACTACCCACGAGAGTTGATCCGCTAATTCAAGTACGCTCCCCAGCAAACACCGATATATAACTGTTACATTGCTATAATAAAACGGAATGTAACAGGTAATATAACGTGTATGTTACATGTAACATCCATGTTAGTTGTAATTTCCCACTCAGAGATGTAACATTTTTAATATAACATATATTACATTGTAGTTATACCAAATAGCACATTGATGTATTGATAAGTCAGTGCTATCTTGGGATATAATGACAATATAACTACAATGTAATATATGTTATATTAAAAATGTTACATCTATGAGTAGAAAATTACAACTAACATATACGTTACATGTAACATGCTTGAATACTTACATCTATATAACATTTATATACCGTGTTTGCTGAGTCTGTACATATTTATTTTTTTCCAAAGAATACTCCCAGCAAATACCGACATAAAATTGTTACATTGCTATAATAAAACGGAATATAACAGGTAATATAACGTGTACGTTACATGTAACATCCATGTTAGGTGTAATTTCCCACTCATAGATGTAACATTTTAATATAACATATATTACATTGTAGTTATATTGTAATTATATACCAAATAGCACATTGATGTATTGATAAGCCAGTGCTATCTTGGGATATAATGACAATATAACTACAATGTAACATATGTAATATTAAAAATGTTACATCTATGAGTGGGAAATTACAACTAACATATACGTTACATGTAACATGCTTGAGTATATAACATTTATATATTGTGTTTGCTGGGGTTGATCAACCATGCTTAATTGTAAATAATTTGACTGATATGACAGAAATACAAGGGCATATGTCATTATCGAAATTGTTAAAAGAAATGTGTATGCCAAAAAAGAGAATTCTACAAGAAATTACGCAAGAGGTAAATTTATATATGTAATTATAATGATTCTTACTGACCGTTCGTAATTTCACAATTTCTGTATTCGGTAAACTTTCTCACATGTTCTTATATTTCTTCCTTTCATCAATATTTTTCGGCATTACCTCTTTTTTTCTATTTCATATCCTCCGTAATCTTCAAAATCTTTTCTCTCGATTCTGCCACGTACTTCTTCTCGATATCAATGTTCTTCTTCGTTATCTATATATTCTTCTCCGCGCCGCGACTTTTTTTTATTGCTGATCGACTTGTTCTTGAAGAGAAACAATATTTCTTTCTCTGACTTGGCAGAACCTTGTTGTTGCAATCTTGGTACATCCTTCATCTCTTTCTGTATCTGCTTCTCGGAGTAGTGTGCCTTTTCCGTCATCGAACATTTCGATGATATCCTACATATATATAATATTCTTTTTATTCTTTTTATATTATGAAAACATGAAAATAATTTTTTTTTATTATTTACTTTATATTAAATATTTTATTGTCATATATTTTGACATCAAATTTAAAGTATCGGAAAATATATTTTTTTATTATCCCATCTTTAATATTTTTATGCACAGAATAATAAAATAAACCTTAATTTATATAAATATTACATATACATTTAAGTAAAAGAGATATATTATTATTGTATATGTAATTAGCGTACATATTACATCCCAGCAAACACCAAATAATAATTATATAACTGTTAGTTATAATTTTCCACTCAACAATGTAAACGCAATATAACACACGCGTGGGAAATTATATAACAGTTATATAATTATGAGTTATATAATAGTTACTTGGTGTTTGCTGGGATGTAACATATATATATTAGTTGCAATTAATAGACATGTTCCTATATATTGCCAGTATAGAAAATCTCTAATATATCTAATATAAACTATAATTTTTAATACTGACACTGTATAACGGAATATGTATAATATGTAGGAAATAAGTACAGTATAAACATCAAACAATTATAAATCTGTTTCTTTTATATAGATGTAATATATATAATATATGTTATACTGTAGTTATATTGTAATTATATTCTAGAATATAGCACAATGATTTATCAATATTAGGTATATTTCCACATACACTGCTAGTACCAAAGATCTATAGTTTACGTTACATATATTATAAACTGTCATTATCAGCAGTATAACATATATATTGATTGCAATTAGTAGATATATTCCGATATACTGTCAATACTGAAAATCTCTAATATATCTAACGTAGTTTATAGACTTTCAATACAGGCAGTGTATAGCAGAACATATCTAATATCTGGGATATAATTACAATATAATTACAAAATAACATTATACAACAATTATATATCTGTTTATATATCTGTTTCACTAATAGATGTAATATTTATAATATATAATATGCTATAATGTAAAATACACTACCAATATTAAAAATCTACAGTTTACATTAGATATATTGGATTATTTTCAGTACTGGCAGTATATCGGAATATGTATAATAATTTCAATCTATATATATATGTTACATGTAACATGCACATTAGTTACAAATTATATCCAATATACACTGTCAGTACTAAAAATCTATAGTTTGCATTATATATATTAGAGATTTTCTGTACTAGCAGTACATCAGGACATATATATTAATTACAACTAACATATATATATGTAATATATAATATTTGCATATTAGTTATATATTGTACAACAATTATATAATGTAAGTTGGATAGCAAAAAAATCAATACTCACGTGTGTAATACTGTATTACACGTCGATCTACTTCTTTTCTTTATACTATTTATCACTTATACCTCCATTCATACTCATGTACATACCATATAGTTTCCCTGTAAAAAATAAAGTGTTAATCTGAATACTGTATATTTATTCCTTTTTTTTCTTCTTATTTGTCTACAGGATTTAAAACGTGTTTCATTGACTACAATTACACGACAGCTAATCTAATTTAGTAACTCCTACATTTTATTCGATTCAAAATTTGTATTTTTTTAATCAAAATGATTACTTTAATATAACCTTCTGTTAATACTATTTGGAAAAATCATATTTTATCTCTCTTCCATGTAGTTTAATCATTGATCATGGAAATTATTGGATTACTGAGTATGGAAATTATTGGATTACTGATGTAGTTATGCATCAGGTATTTACATTTAGTACTCAAAATATAGAGAAGCATATAAAAGAATTGAAACACACACAGTTTAATTCAATTGGTGTATCTGGCAATAACACTATATAATGCATTATTTGCAAATAGCATATTAAAACCTATAATACTGGGAAAGGCTTTTGTTTCAAATGTTTAGTATCAAAATAAACTCATATTTAAATGAATGATATGGCTAGATCGCTCTTATTGTAAATAACAAAGATAGAGAATCTATTGCTGTGAGAGCCAATATATAATGCTTAGCAAATTTGCCAAGATGAGGAACTATCTCAAATCGAGATTTATAAGTTACTCTTTCTTCCTAACAAACCTTTTAAAATTTCCTAAAATTAATATAGACGAGAAAAATATATCGGTCCAAAAAAGTCGGCTGAATCGGGAATGGGCTGATTCATATTTAAATATTCATTATAATCAAAAAAAGAAAATTTTTTAGATCGAATAATATATGATAATTGGTATATGGTAATTAAATTAGATTATAAACATATTTATGTAATAAGCTATTAATAAAAAGATAGTAATTATTTAGAATACAGACCTCACCTCAAAAATCAATAAAATTATGTTAATTTGACGCGTTTTTGCACAAAAAATCTAGCAGAAAAAAATGGTGGTATGCCACGCGAAGCGAAATATTAATCGTTAAAGTTTTTTTTGGAGTTTAACGTGTCGTTAACCGGGACAGTCTGCAATTATATTAATTAATTAATTAAAAATTAATTAGTCGTGCCTTTGCGCACGCTTTTGCAACAAATTTCAGATTATAAAAAATTTTCATCATAGGAGGCGCGGGTCCCTATATTGTTTCATAGTTCAAAAAAAAGGAGGCAAATCACAAAGAAAAAACATCATGGGGAGGGTAATCTAAAGCATGCTATGCGGCCGGGATGCACATTTCGGCCGATTTTGCTACTGCCACTTTTTTAATTCATTGCATCTAGATTGCGCGCGGAGACATAAGACATTCGAGCTCAGGAACGATATTTGAATCATACACAGGGCGTTGGCGCGTATCGCCCAGTGCGCTGTTTTTCTATTATTATGTTATTACAATTACATATGACATTAAAAATAACATTAAAATTAATTACGTATGTTAATTGCATGTGTGTGTGCGTGCGTATGTGTGTGCGCGCGCGCGCGTTGTGTGTGTATCATTAAGGTCTGTATATAAACTTATTATATATAATAAGACATATTCCCAGATATAATATTAATATTTTTAATAAAGTTAAGAATTATTATATTTTTAGTCATCACTGGCGACTTCGTTATTTAACGTGTTATTTAACGTATTAATATTTTTATTTAATATAATTATTATATATTGCAATAAAGTCAATAGATGGTATATATTTAAAAACATCAATAAATTTCCATATCACCTTTTCGAGGTACTACTTGTTAATGCGTTTTTTTTTTTAGTGGTTTCTCCAATAGGTTTATTCCACTATAAAGTTAAAAACTATTTACATTTTAAGAGTTTAACACGGCTCCGTAATATAAATATGAATTTAAAGTGTAAGACATGCAACAAGAACCAATCGCAGATGACAGTGCGTTATTCCAACGAAACTAAATTTTTCGTTAGAATTAAATACCTGTGCACAAGGCACCAAATATTACTTGGTCACGACCAAGATTTTAAAATATGAAATAATCTCATATTTGAGATTTAATTTCAATAATCCTTTAACCCCCTTGCGGAAATAAATTCGATTCCCGATTCAGCGACTTTCGGATCTATATTTTTCTCTTGCATTTATTTATTTATTTCCGCAGGGGGTTAAAGGATTATTGAAATTAAATCTCAAATATGAGATTATTTTATATTTTAAAATCTTGGTCGTGACCAAGTAAAATTTGGTGCCTTGTGCACAGGTACATATTTAATTCTAACGAAAAAATTTAGTTTCGTTGGAATAACGCACTGTCATCCACGATTGGCTCTTGTTGCCTGTCTTACACTTTATATTTACATTTTGTTGCTTTAAGTTCCGAAATATCAATGTTAATTTTGAATAAATTTATTCTCATCAACGAAGATAACGATGTTATAGTTTAATGACGAACGTGTGCTCGATTTTATGTGCTTCATTTTTGAAAATGAGGATTCGAAAATACATGGGAAAAAAGGATTTAAATACAGAGATCCAAAAATTTTGAAAATATTTTTATTTCGAAATTTTATAATTCTGGATATTTCCTAGTAAGCAAGAAATATTTAATCAACATTTTATAATGTTGATTTTATATAAATTTTCCAAACGTTATGATATAATGTTGTATAAACATGTTTAATAGTATATTAGCTAACAAGTGCGGGGGATTGTAAATCAGCCGAGAGTGCGGAAGTTTGGTGCACGAGGCGAAGCCGAGTGTGACAATCTGCACTCTCGGCCGATTTATAACCCGCACATGTTGGCTACGATATTTTGTGTGATCGGTGCGTCGAAAGGGAGCCCTTTCTAAAATCCCATTATGTGCGTAAAGGGCGACTTTTCGCGCGCCGGTTGCACAAATATTATTAATAAATATTCTAAAAAATATTTTAACTGATGTTTTTTTTATAAATGTTTCAAAAATATTATTTAATAACATAAGGCTCTCAAAATATTAATAAAATATTTTAAAAACGTTAATTTCAACATTACTGAAACCTCTAAATCAATGTCAAAGTTTGTTCATAATGATGTTGCATACAATGTTAAAAACTACTTGACAGCAATAATAACGTTGTAGCAATGATTTTTGCTTACTGGGTTGGTTTAGGTATATATACATATTATATTTTCAAAATTTAAAAGTTCCATACCTGTTTCTGGTCACGATTTCAGTGAATAGCGCTTTAGAAATCGCATAGTTCTAATTAAAAGTCAATACTCTATTAAACTATTGGAACAGGTCAAAGATTTTTGTAAAGAACAAAGTCTTTTATTTTTGCGAAACGAATTAACATAACTCATTACTCAGATATTGTTTGGTCAATCTGTTGGAGTTTCAAATTCAAAGTATTTAGGTCACAAGTCAAGTCTGCGATAAAAGCTTGTTTCAAAATAATTCCACGTTTTTAAAAAATAATTTAAATGTGTCAAGTTTTACAATACATTTTTTTTGTATGGAAAAATTATTCTTTTATTATAGCAAAAAAATTTTGCAATGTTTTTTGCAAAGTTTTTTTCTTCGAGAAAGCTTTGAAACTTGTAATGAAGCAAAGATTTGTTGTTATCGTATTTACGATTGCTGTTCCTGTCTGCATGGCAATAGATTATTTTATATCTTTTCTGCATAAGCTTCCTGGTATATGTGCAATGAAGCAAAGAAAATTTTAAATTTCTTTAATTATCCTAAAAATCTAATCGTGCCATAGACTTCGCACTATCTGTCACTATGCACGAACATTTAAAAAAATCGCAAATAAATTTTTTAAGGTCATTTTAAGTGTTCTGTAAATATCAATGGCAGTTATTATTCTGTGTACTAGCGCTAAATCTGACATTTCTTCAATATATAAAAAGTCATTTTGTTTAATTCGCGCAAAAATGCTTAATTGACTTATATATCAAACATCAATGCTCTTATTAAGGCACAATGAAAAGTAAGTGTATACATATTTAATAATGATTTCAATTTGTCTTCTATAGAACAGGCTATAATTTTTTATCTCACCGTGTTACGAAAAATGAAATGTTAATGTTTTTTTAAGTATCATTGTAT